CAGTGTCTGGGACATGGATGTATAAAGAGAAGTAGACTCAGTGTTGGAGGTGGTGCTCTCTTCATTCCTATGAAAGTGGTTCAGTGATGCATGAAACCAAAAAAGCCACTTCCCGCTGCAAAGAAATTACCCAGATAAATACACACATGTTCTATGGGCCACTGGATATGTACTAGAGATATCCGCTGGCAGAGCCAGCTAACTTCTGGTTTAGCTCACCGTTAACTTGAAAGAAGATGAATATTTAAATCTTGCGAATCTTCTAGACTTTAAAAATGTATTGGTTGTGACTCTCAAAAAAATGTATGCACCATATTACAGCCACTTCTTTCACAGTGTAAGCTTATTGGAAAAAGCTTTTTTGATAAGTTGGAGTTTGACCTTTCTTTTTCTTTTCTTTTTTTAAGTGTTCATTTTATTACTGCTGTATCACAATATTTGAATATTTGTAAAAACCACAAGACTGTAAGAATGTGAAAGTGCAGGAGCAGACCTGCCTGAATGAATTCCAATGGATTGCATTACAGTATAATGTACTGTATAGAGTAGGAGGAATTAAATAAAGGAAAACTAATGACACATTTCCTTATTTTAGTTTTTTATTGTGGTTTTACCTGAACAGCAATACTGAAGTACAATATGTGGCAGGTTCAAACACTGAAACAGAGTATGCTTTTAAAACAACAGGTGCAGAATACGTAACCAGAAGTCTAAATAATAAAAAATATTCAGCCACATTTAGCCCAGTTTTAACATTGACATTTAGATGTCTTTGGACCTGCTAATCACCAGATTCATGATTACTGGGAGACTACAACACCAGAATTTAACACCTGAATCAACAAAGCATAGCTAACAATGCAACAATGCAAAAACTAAACTGCATGATGAGAATGTTACAAGTCTGCGTTATGCACATGCAGGTTTTAAGCCTTTATGCATATTTTATTCAGCAAGGTAAAATAGAGAACAGGTTCTCAGATAAATTAAAGTAGATACTCTATGCTTGCAAATGAAAACCAAATAGTGATACTGCCCACCTTATTTCTACACATTACTGTTTGCAAATGTCATGCTGTGATAAAGCAAGTATGTAGGTCTACAGGTTGTTGACAAAATCTTCTCCAAAATCAATCATTCGTCTCAGTGCACTCAGTGTCAGTGTATCAATGTCATCATCTGTGTAAATCTCTGAGTGGTAGTTCTTCACCGGAAAGATGCAGTTCAGTGGAATACCCAGCGACACATTCAATTCCTCCATCTGAATTTAAACAATTTGACAAATGAGAAATGACAACAAAATGTTGATCAATGGGCATTGTTGTGTTGTCTATAAATAAAAAAAACTTGAATTACAACACACTACAAACTCATAAAATCACAAATAGAAACATACCTTTGTCTTCAGGGACTTGCTCATGTACACGTTCCTTATATCTCTTTTGACCTCTGGACAGGCTTCATCAATTTTGGTGAGAATAGCCAGTTGGGGAATCCCTGCCGATGCAAAGCAGAATGTGAGTCAATGATGATCATGTTTGTCAGGTTATTTGATTGAATGTATGAAACCAATTAACTGACCCTAACCCTTACTCATATCTCTTGCTCCAAGTCTGACATCCCTCATCTTTTTCATAGTTTCAGCACTCAGTAAATTTACTGTGCTGGCAGGGATGACACAAACCAGAACATGAACTTTGTCATTTAGAGCGGCGGTTTTGTTGTAGCTGGGATCATCTTCAGATATTGTAGAGTGAGGTTTGAACTGGAAAACCATGTAAAATTTGATTAAAGATTGATTATGCAAATTGTTTCTTATATGTATTTTAACGTGAATGAAATTGTTTATTCAAAACTGATCTCAAAGCTGGACTGTATGAGTGAAATATATCCGACAAAGTTTAATGAATTCAGTAATTACATTATATCCATCTTTTATGTGTCCCCTCATGGCCTGTTTGATGTCCTCCACTCCAACTCCTTTGTCACTTTTCTCAAGGCCCATGATGTCAGTGAAGGCAAAAGAGTGAAATGTTCCTGGTTCTCCTTTTTGGATTTTGTAAGTTTTGTACTGTAAAACAGAAAGGTGCAGTTATAATGACAATAATGCCACATGTTGAATAATGACCATAAAGCAGTTTGGCTCTTTTGCTCAGCACTCCTCCTAGCTTGACATATAGTGCAATGATCATTGCAAGTGCAAATGAAATACATTAAAATACCAGGTGAAAGAGTCATGAAGATTTACAGTGCATGAAATACATGACAACAAGTGATTCATACTTCAGTGGTGAAGCTTTCGTGGGAGACTGCATCAGCCAAAGCTCGACCAGTGATTTTGCCTCGTAAAAGACTGTCGACAGAGTTGATGAAACTGGACTTGCCAGAACCAGTTGGTCCATAAAGCAGAATTCTGAGCTGTTTAAGGTCATCATTATGAGGCTGATAATCCTCCACATACTGAAGGTCTCTCTCTTTTTGGCTGTTCAATAAAGAGGTAATATTTTACTGCTTGGTTTTTACAGACACAACTAACAACAAACATCACAATCAGCCTCAAAATTAAAGTGTATGCAGTTGTACAATTTGTTGCGCACTCACCCCCATGGTATTTTCCTCCATTCACCAATAAGAACTGTACATGTTTGTGTAATACAGAAGAATATTTTAAGTAAATAAATCACCAAAACTGAGAAGGCCTCATTGTTATAATGAGTATAAACAATGTATGTAATATTTAGAATATCTTACTCTCAGGAGAGGGTGGATTGGGTTCTGATTTGGGCCATTTGAACATACCTACAATAGAATATTAAGCAAACATGTAAAAAAGAAACATTTTTCCATATGAACTGCATTATTTATTACCAAAGATTTCAGAGTATATATAGTTCATACATGTTGCAGATTATCACAGGACTAAACTGTGATGTAACAGCAATCTATCTTATTCTTTCTAAGTCTTTAATAATTATATTCAATTAAAATTTCTGAATATATACAATAAATAAATTGTGTTCAAAATAGAAACTGAAAGTATAAAGGTAAGCTACCATAAAATGAAAACATGGACATGCATTTTTAACTTTCTGTCATATTTTGCAAAGTTTTGGACCCAAATGCAGACACAAACTCAGGAGTAAAATTAATTCAAAGGGTTAACTGGAAACGTAGTGGGGTATGAAGGTAGCTGAAGCAGGCCGGAGAGGAATAACTTGGTTTACTGGGTGTGGCTGGTCGATATCTGATTGAAAGTTGGCAAGCAGATAGTTCAGGTGTGGTCCTAGAGAACAAAAGGAGAGGGTTAGGCAGTAGTACAACAAGAAACTAAGAAAACTCTAATCTTAGGACACAAGCAGAGACTGTTGTAGATACTACTACTGTTGACTGAATGAGCTGGTACTGGTTGATTGTATTTGGGATTGAAATACTAAGCTGATGAGCAAATGCCGGGCAGATGAGGCAGGTGGGAGTTGTAGACTGCGGTGCACAGGAGCAAAGTTGGGAGCCAAGAGGAAACACACATAGATAGAAGCATAAAATACAGAGGAGCAAAGGAGACACAGAGCAGGGGAACACAAAAACACTATGGAAAATGTATGCCTGTGTCCATGACACTCTCTAGTTTTAGGACAGAAACAAAATATTAATTATCTCACAAATACAAATACTTAATTAAAAATTAAGATAGAATTCAAAGACTGGTTTTAAAAAAAATCCGCAGGAAATGATGTACAGTAGGTTAAAAAAACTTACTTAATCTAAAAAACACATTTCACTTCTTAATAGCAAATTTTACACAGACATCTTTATCAGTATAGATATAAAATAAAAAAGAGTTGTGCCCATGGAAAGAAACGGTAATGGTTTACCTCAAGTAACTCTTTTGTTCTTTTTTTTCACGGTTTTATCTGTGTTGTCTTTTTGTGGTGTATAACTGTATATGACTGTTTGTGTGGTCGAGGAAGGAAGACTAGCCAATGCTTCTGCTGGAGCTAATGAGGATCCAAATAAACAAACAAATAACAAACAAAATAATAAAATTGAAATTGCAGAATATATACAGTAAATTAAGTGTGTTCAAGAAGAGAAAGTGAAAGTACAAAGGTAAGTGAATAAAAAATGAAAACGTGGACATGCATTTTTCACTTTCTGTCATATTTTGCAAAGTTGGACCCAAATGCAGACACAGACTCAGGAGTAAGATGAATTAAAAGGGTTTACTGGAAAGGTAGTGGGGTATGGAGGTAGTTGAAGCGGGGTGGAGAGGAATGACGTGGCTAACTGTATGTGTCTGGTGGATATCTGGTTGAAAGTTGGCAAGCAGACAGTTGAGGTGTGGTCTTGGAGCACAAAAGAGACGATTTAGGCAGGAGTACAACATAACAAAACTAAGAAATCACTTAGGAAAAACTTAGGACACAAGCAGAGACTTTTGTGGATACTACCACTGTTGACTGAATGAGATTGAAATACTAAGCTGAAGAGCAAATGCAGGGCAGATGAACCGGGTGGGAACTGTGATGAGCTGATAGCCGACTGCAGTGCACCGGAGCAAAGTTGGGAGCCAAGAGGGAAAACATACATACAGAGGAGCATACAATACAGAGGAGCACAGGAAACACAGAGGAAAAACAAAAAAAAACACCAAAAAATCCTATGGAAAACGGCCGTGACAATGACACATTCACTATAGTTTTAGGACAGAAACAAAAAAATTATCTTACAAATACAAATACTTTATCAAAATTCTAGAGAAAATGCAAAAAAAAAAAGATAGAATGAAAACTCACTTCAAGAGTTGTGCTCCTGGGAAGAAGCGGTGATGGTTTACCTCAAGAAACGATTCTGAAATGGAGTTATTAAGCTTTATCTTCAGTACTCCAAGTTTCTTTTTGAAAATTACATTATAAAACTTAACCACAGTTTCTTGTGCCAAAATTAAAGCGGTTAATAATCATGAGCTGATGTTCCTAAACTACTGAACTTGAACGACTTACCTCCCGTTGTAGTTGTTGTTGTTGTTGTTGTCTGTCTGGAGTTTTATACACTGATGTGTATTGTGTGAGATCATGTATTTTTCAATGTTTTATCCTTTCGGTTTCTTTTGTGTCATGTGATTGAAAGAATTTGCCAAACAGAAAGGAACTAAGGGTGTGGTCAGGTGTGCCACACATAACTGTTTCTTGAGTTGTCTCTTTGCTGTTTTTGAAAAAGCTTTTTCCAATTTTACTAACACTTAAACTGTTTTCACATGTTACATGTAAATGTGACACTATTTTACTCATATGTTTTTATTTTTCAACACCTACCTTCATCTCACATTCACCAAATGTCAGTTCAACTGGTTTCAGTTTGTATTATTTTACAGAGAGTTCATTTTTCCTTCCACTTGCTGAAAAGGGACACACTTCAGCGGAAGTTCAGCACGTCCACTTACAGCTTATTTCCGTAATTGCATTTTAACATCAACTTTAACAAATGTTTGAACTGTGAATTTTCAGAAAGCACTCTCATTTTTTTATTTGTGGATTATGGTACTAGTTTGTGTCACACACAGGTACACGGAGGATGACTTCAAAACAAAAGCACATTTACTCCTTTCTGTGGAATTTAACTGGATATTGGAAATATGTATGACTAAGTCTTAAAATAATTAATAGTAAACAAATCAACAACAATTTGATCGCAGCAAGGAGAGGGAAGCGTCTCAATATGGTGGCAGTCCATTAATATGGCACATATATATTCTAAATGTTGTGTTGTCAGAGTGTGTATGAAACAATTTCGTTTTTAAAAGTTGTTTGTTCTAACCTGGTTTTTCCTGTGCTTCAGGATTGCCAACGCTTCATCTCCCTTCTCATCTACATACCGCTTCAGCAAAGTTACCAGGGAGGTGAATTCTGTGTAATTACAGACGAGCAAGTAAGGCAAACTGTTCATAAAAATAAAAAAAAAGAACTTCAGGATCTACAGGCTGTTGACAAAGTCTTCTCCAAAGTAAATTGTCTGTCTCAGCTTAGTGTATCAACGTCAAATACCCTTGACGAACTCAATTGTTCAATCCAAATTTTAACAATTTGACATGCAGCTTTGATACGTGTTATTTTTATCCATTTTGACTTCTGGACCGGATTCATCAATTTTGGTGAGAATAGCCAGTGAGCTGATACAGAACAGAATCTGATGAAACCAGAAAGCAGAATTCTGGGCTGTTGGATCTTTATAAGGCTGCTAATCCCGCACAAACTGCAAATATTTCTCTTTTCATTATTATTTCATTATTCAAAGAACATTTTAGATTTGTTATTAAATCCAAATAATTTTTTGTCAATACTGCAGATATTTTGTGGTTGCTGCACAGTGCTGACATTAAACAGGATGTGAAAGAACCACAAAACAAGGAAATTAAAACAACAGCAGTCTAAAAAAATACTTTTGTGCAGTTTATTTTTTTTTTTTTTGTAACAATTTTCATAATAATAATAATAATAATAGTACATGCAGTGCTTTTAAAAAACAAAAGACATTGAGAAAATGATAGAGGAATAATAGCCCCAGCAATTAAAAATAAATACTTATATCATTAAAACAGATAAAATGAAAATGTGTTGGCAATGAAACAGCTGTAAATATGTTATTATAAGAATTCTCAACCTGCAAGCCCCCCACCAAGACATTTGTTTCATTGCCAACATATTTTCATTGTATCATTTTCTCAATGCCTCATTTTCTTTGGCTGAAAATTTTTAATCCTGTTTCAACCAAAGCACTTTGTAACTATGTTTCAAAAAGCACTGCATAATGTGTATTCTTCTTCTAATAGTAGTAGTACTACTAGTAGTAGTAGTAGTTGTAGTTGTAGTTGTTGTTGTTGTTGTATAGAAAAATTAAAAACTAAAACTGCACAAAATTATTTATTCAGACATTACTTTTTTGTGGTTTTCTCACATCCTGTTTAATGTCAGCAACCACATAATATCTGCAGCACTGACAAGAAATGATTTGGATTTAATAAGTACATGGCACGCCTTCAGTTTCATTTCAAACCATGAACATTGTCATTGAGAGTAGAGAATCTGTTATAGTCTTGATCATTCTCAGATAATGCAGACCTGTCATAGCCATGACTATACCCTTGCCTTTTCCTTGTGTTTTTGTTGTGTTTCCCCCTCTCCTGTGTCTTCTGTCTGTGTGTTGTGGTAGAAAACTGGTAGATCGACCCATTAATCATGATTGATTCTGGGCTGGACCAATTACAGCCGAGGGCCGATGCCCCCTCCCTCTTGGGCCTCGGCTGTCAATCATACAGAGAGAGAGGAGATCACGAAAATGGAGAATAGCAAGAAGCGAAAAAAATTTGAACTAAAAAGAGACAAGCTCTTCAGGCAGATGCTGCCAAATGTGTTAAAATAACACAGATGTTTGCTGGTGGCTATGTTGGAGCTTCAGGTCTACAGGTCTTCTCCAAAGTTAATTATCTGTCTCAGTGCGCTCAGTATCAGTGTACCTTTTCGACCACATTTAGCCCAGTTTTAACTTTGGACATGCTGATCACCAGATTAGTGATTATTGAGTGGCTACAACACCAGAAATTACCACAACAAATCAACAAACCTAACCATAGCTAACAGTGCAATCATGCAAAACCTAAAATGCATAGTGAGAATGATACAAGTTTTCATGCAAATGCAGGTTTTAAGCCGATATGCATATTTTATTCAGCAAGGTAAAATACAGAACAGGTTATATTATAATTTGTAATAATAGATTAGATTTTCCTCTGCAACATGTAGGTCTACAGGTTGTTGACAAAGTCTTCTCCAGAGTTAATCATCTGTCTCAGTGCGCTCAGTGTCAGTGTATCAATGTCATCATCTGTGTCAATCTCTGAGTGGTAGTTCTTCACAGGAAAGATGCAGTTCAGTGAAATACCCAGCGACATATTCAGTTCCTCGATCTAAATTTGAACAATTTTGCATATAACAATGAAAACAAACTATTAATCAATGGATAATTTTATGTTAGATGAATATGATATATAACAACTGTCAAACTCAAACAATCACAAATAGAGACATACCTTTGTCTTCATGAACTTGCTCTTGTACACATTCTTTATATCTTTTTTGACTTCTGGACAGGCTTCATCAATTTTGGTGAGAATAGCCAGTTGGGGAATCCCTGTCGATACAGAACAGAATGTGAGTCAATCAATATAATGTTTGTCAGGTTATTTGATTCAACTTATGAAACCCCATAACTAACCCTAACCCTTACCCATGTCCCTGGCTGCAAGCCTGACTTCCCTCATCTTTGTCATAGTTTCATCACTCAGTAAATGTATTGTGCTGGCAGGGACGACACAAACCAGAACATGAACTTTGTCATTTAGAGTGGGGTTGTTGTTGTAGTGACGATCATCCTCAGATATTGTAGAGACAGGATTGAACTGGAAAAAAGAATGTGCGTGTAAATTTGCGTGTAAACAGTTTCTTATATGTATTTTTTTATATGAAATACATTTGTTTTTTCATAACAGATCACAAAGTTAGATTTTGTTATTGAACTCAACAAGGTTTAATAATTTCAGTAATTATACTTTGTAATGATCTTTTATGTTTCCACTCATGGACAGTTTGATGTCCTCCACACCAACTCCTTTGTTAGTTCCCTTCTCAAGGCCCATGATGTCAGTGAAGGCAAAAGGGTAAAATGTTCCTGATTCTTCTTTTTGGATTTTGTAAGTTTTGTACTGTAAAACAGAAAAGGTGCAGTTATAATGGCAATTGTACAGCATAATGAACAATGACCATAAAGCAAATGTTCTATTTCTCACTACTACTTTCATCACAATTGCTCAACATTGCTGCAAGCCTGATCAGTTCTAATCATTGCAAGTGTACAATACAATAAAATACTAGGTGAAAGATTTCTAAAATGTCCTTTAGTTTTACAGTGCATTAAATACATGACTTTGGTTAAAACCATCTCAGAAGTGATTCATACTTCAGTGGTGAAGCTGTCGTGAGAGACTGCATCAGTCAAAGCTCGATGAGTAATTCTGCCTCGTAAAAGACTTTCGACAGAGTTGATGAAACTGGACTTGCCAGAACCAGTCGGTCCATGAAGCAGAATTCTGAGCTGTTCGAGGTCTTTATTTCGAGGCTGATAATCCTCCACATACTAAAGGTCTTTCTCTTTGTGGCTGTTCAATAAAGATGATTAGATTTTAGATGAAAATGTCAATTTTGCAGATGGCGCACATATTTTGTGGTAGCTATTAGTTAACCTCTGGTTAATGTCACTGACACTGGTGACATTGACGAGATGGTGGAAGTAACAAAGTATGAATTCTATATAAGTACAGTAACAGTATTAAGTACTTAATTTTTTTCAGGTATTTGTACTGTACTTGAGTATTTCTTTTTCAGAAAACATTTTACACAAATATCTGTACTTTCTACTCATTGCATTTTTTGCAATGCGTTTGTTACTTTAGTTTTACCGGATTTGAGGGGGATTATCAATTATTACAGCACTGCCACTACGTTGATGTGAATCACGCACAGTAGAACACCTAAGTCTTGGTTTTAAAATAGTAAGTTGAAGAAAAACTATTAAACACCAGAGGCACCACAAACGTAACACATCACTTACCCCCATGGTATTTTCCTCCATTCTTCAATCAAAGCTGACAAGTAAAATGCACATGTTGATGTAATATATGAGTCATATTTTAAGTAAATAACTTCCAATATACAAATGAAGAATCTGTTATTTAAGTTTAAACAATTTTCTGTGTTATTTTGAGTATCTTACGCGGTGAGGAAAAGGAGAACCATCCTCCCATGACTACGATAGGATATTAAGGCAACATGTAAACAAGAAACATTATTTCACATTAATTATTGCACATAACTGAACCAAATGTCAACAGAAAATGTGGGACTTAATATTTAGAACATGTTTTTGTAAGTTCTGAATTTCTGCAACTTATCAATGGTAAAACTGACTGAACTTTGCTGCAACAACATTTACTATTTATAAATATCTTTAATTCTATTACATTGAAATGGCAGAAAATATACAAGGTAAGTAAGTGTGTTCAAGAAGGGAAAGTGAAAGTACAAAAGTAAGCCAACAAAAAAATTTTAACATGTATTTTTAACTTTCACTTGATCAAAATAAGCTTTACAACAGAAACCAAAAATGTACAAATCATTGGGCATTGGGTAAACATCTATCACACTGATCTAGCTCAAGATGACTGCAGAAGAAGAAATGTTACTTAATCCCAAAAACAAATAACATTTCACTTCTTATTAGCAAATTGTACCAACATATTTATAAATATCAAAATATTCTCACCTTCAGTTGTTCCTGTGGAAAGAAGTGCAAGTAATGATTCTGAAATTAAGAAATTAAGCTTTATATATTGTATTCCAGATTCCTTTTCATCCTTTTCTTCACAAATTCTATGATTATATCACTTACTACTCCTGCTGAATTTCAAAGATGAGTGTCCAGTCCTATAGTTGTTGTTGTCTGTCCAGTGTTGTGTACTGGTATGGATCGTCTGAGGCCACATATCTTTAAATGTTTTTGAATCCTTTCAGTTTCTTTTGTGTCATGTGATTTCAAAGAATTTCCCTCTCTGGCAGCTGTCCAGTCTAGGTGTGAGCTTTGAGTGCAACTGGGTGTGTCACACATTTTTTTACAGTCTCTCATGACCAAATTAACACTACTGTTAAATTCTGAAAAGCTGTAGGAAAATCCCTCAAGATGGGCAAATTCACAGTACCTGCTCCACCACAATGGCAGCACATTGTCCACCTGAACGCTGCAGACAGCATTACATATTATCACCTGTGTTGTGTTTACAAACACAGAGGCATTTGACATCTGTGTTTATGCTGTACACTGTTACTGTCACTAGCTACGCCTCCTCTCCAGTAGTTGCCTATGTGGGACTGTGTATGAGTGGAGAGAGACTGCAGAATGAGGCACAGAGAAGCAGAGAGTTACAGGTAGAGAAGTGGAGCGTGTACGTTATCAGCGTTAGCTGCTGCTAAATAAAGGCCTCGACAGTTCGCTGTGTCCAGTGTTGACCAAGGATCTAGGGATGACATACCCAACCCAGCTCTGGTCCTCTTCCCACCATCATGCACTGTGGTTGCACCAGGTTGTGGTTTTGCTCTTGATGTAGAAAGGCGTCCATGTTATGGTATAAGTGTCTTTCAGTAATTGCATTTAACTGCCATTTTAACTTTCATTGTTTTAGTATTTCAGACATTTCAGATGTTTAAACTGTAACCACACATTTTCTTTAGAATATTTAGCTTTTTATAGTTGCACTTTTCTGACAAAGTGAAAAGGCAACTGAATGGCGACAGAATACAAAGACGCAATTATTATGCTCCTTAAAATGTTTTAATCGGTGTCAAAGGACTGATGTAGAGCAACAGATGCATAATAGGGTTGTTTACTTTGAAAATGCCGTCAGACAAGAAATGCTTTTATCTTGTGTGTAAATTTATCTGTGGAGTTTAGAGGCTATTCAGCATTTTTTTCTTTAAATATGTAGGTTTTCATATTAGAATGACCATTGAGCTCAGGCTGTTCGACATATTTTATTTTATTTTACCTTTATTTTACCATTGAGATCAAAAATCTCTTTTACCAGAGAGACCAGGGGCCTCATGTACTAAGACTTGCGTGGATTTGCAACTAGAATGTGGTGTACACTGAAAGAGTGAAAGTTCCGTACGCAAAAAAAAATTCAGATGTATCAAAACGTGCGTACGCAGAATCCCACGCACATGCACGAGCACAACGCTCCACCCTGTCCCCTCCCACAAATACACCGATTTGAATATGCTAATTAGCATAAATAGGCCTAGACAGTGCTATCTTTAGGAAAATGGCAAAAGCCAGGAAAAAAAGAAATTTTCCGGAGTGTGAATTAGAGGTGCTGCTGACGGAGGTAGAGCCCAAAAAAAAATTTTATTTTGCGTGGCACAGGCAGTAAACTCGGTAGGGTGGGAGAACCGCACCGCAGTGAAGTGGTCAGATATGAAGACATATCTGCCCATCGCCAGAGCCTTCAGGCCACAGGTGGTGGAGTCCCTGTATTACGGTAGACTGATATACTGTACTGCTGTATTGTGAAAGGGTTACGGTACGTACAAGACGTGACGTCACCACGCTCCCAGTGAGCGCTAGTTGTTGTTGTGTGTGAGCCATGCTGATGAGACGGCAGCACATCGGTCCGCACTTCATTGTTACTGTTAAATAAATATGCCAAGAGGCTAAAGATAATTTGAGTGTGTTCTACTTATCCCCCATACGCAGTAGAGGACTGCACGCTGCAGTAAATAACCTCTTAACACAAATAATCTGCAAATGTTTTAAAATTGTGTAATTGCTTGATTGATTGTAAATAATAATAACTTTCGCATGCAGTGCAACTGTCCCTAGAGCAATTATTAATTTTGGCAATGCAATTTAAATGAAACGCCTGTGAGTGTCGCCAACTGACAACTGACATAACAAAATATGTACATACGCCAGCAATGAAGCTGCCGTGGAGGACCGCACATTCTCACGTTCATTTCACTTTTAGTACATCCGAACATGAATGTGAAAAATGGCGTATGCGCGAATTTTGTGCATACGCAACGTTAGTACATGAGGCCCCTGGCCAAGGTAGCAGCCGTACAAAATCACTACATATTAATATACAACATAATAACAAATATAATGGCTTTTAAAGAAAAACAACCACATGCCTCTGTCACCATATTCTTTATGATGCGCTTAAGTTTAACAATGGATATAACTGTGTCTAATTTTAGATCTTTTTGCAGATTATTCCATGCCCAAGGTGCATTATGACAAAATGCAGTCTTCCCTAGATCTGTCAAAACCCGGCGTACATTAAAAAGCAATCACTTGGAAAAATGTAGCTGGTAACTACCACGGGCAGAGACAGAGCAGGTTAGATATACTGGAAGTTTACCCGGTATCGCTTTATAGATAAAAGTGTACAAGTGCTGTTGCCTACAAATGGTAATGATGTACAACCCACCAAATCATAAAGGATGGTGAGTGAGGGACTTAAAATGGAGGAAGCAGCATGCATATACAGTATGTCACTGTAATCAATCACAGACAAGTAGATTCCACTCGTATTTTCCTGGCATTATATGTAAGCGACTGCAAGCGAGCTTTAGAGAAGACCATGAACTTTGTCTTCTGAACTTTTAAAACCAATTGATCAAACTCATCAATAATTGCAGGAGGAAGTGAAAAATTAAAGCATGACCACTCTGGGGAGCCAACTAGATTTTCAATCTGAGATCACACATTTCACACCCATTTTACTATTCACGCAGCTGTTAGCTTTGTCAGCTGCAGCTAAATTAAAGAGAAATAAAAACACACAGGTTTCACCAAATTTTTATATCATGGTTGTATAATTGTGAATATTGTGTATTATTTAAGTTAGCACTCTTTGATTTTCAATACAAACAAGCATTCTTTCAGCATTACCATGTTTTTTTTACAGCTTATCAATAAGATACATTTTGACAAAATATGAACTCCACTAGGAAGGATGTAAGAAAGAATCACATGAATATGAATTACACAATAATAGAAATCAGTCTAAACTATGATGCTGATTACTGTTTGAAATTACTTTTTAATGCTTTAATCATGCTAGATTTGTGTCAGTAGTACGTAGGTCTACAGGCTGTTGAGGAAGTCTTCTCCAGAGGTAATCATCTGTCTCAGTGCGCCCAGTATCAACACATTAATGTCATCGTTGGTGTTGATTTCTGAATTGTAGTTCTTCACAAGAAAGTTGCAGTTGAGTGAAATACCCAGCAACACACTGAATTTCTCAACCTAAGTTAATTAACAGGATTTCAGTTAATCAGTAATTGCAAAGTGGAAACCAAATGAGATTTTTGTGCTGAAATACTGAAAACTTAAATTACATTCAAAGATCACAAAAGTTGCCAATAGAAACTCACCTGTTGCTTCAGGTACTTGCTCTTATAGATATTTTTTAAATCTGTTTTGACCTTAGGACAGGCTTCATCAACTCTGGTGAGAATACCTAGTTGGGGAATACCTGCAGATACAGAAACCTAATCAATCAATCATTTTAAGCATTTGTTGAGCTGGTATTTGGATTCCCAGTATGGAACCATTAGTCCATACAGCACATTTATGATGTCTGCTCTTACCCATTTCACTAGCTGTCATTCTGACTTCTCTCATCTTCTTCAAAACTTCATCACTTAATGAAGATACTGAGCCAGCAGGAACGACAGAAACCAGAACATGAACTCTGTCATCCAGAGTGGGAGATGAGTTGTAGCCCTCATCTTTCTCCTTCAATTGGTGTTCAAGACTGAACTAAAAAAACATTTTAAAATATTACCTAATAATTCTTTAACTGAACAGTTAAACAAAGGCGTTTAAGATGTTTTGTTTGCAATGCAATGCAATGGATTTTAAGTGAAAATCTGTGTTAAATGCAAAACAGTAAACCAGCAAAAAAAAGCAGAAAACTTAAATCATGTAAAAGTTAAAAGGTTTGTACCTTGTGACCTTCTGTTACATGTCCATTCAGGGCCAGTTTGATGTCTTCCACATGAACTCCATTGTTTAGCTGAAGGCCCATGGTGTCATTGAAAATGAAAGAGTAAAAGCTGTCTTGATCTTTGTGGAATTTGTAAGTTGTGTACTGTAAAGAAGGAGTTGAAGGTACTTGTATTATTTTAACAAATTCAGCAAGTCAAAGATACTTTTAGTTTATTTTAGCTTTTTGTAAAGAGCCTGTCTGCCTCCAATTTGTACTCATATTATTTTTGTTACTTAAAACCATCAACCTATAAAAGATGGATTTTGCGTCTCCACTCGTCTCACTGTACAAAACTGAAGCCAAGGTATCCCGCATACAGCTGCTGCCATTTTTCTGTCTACACAGTCGTGATCAGTGTTGGCACCAAAGTCTCACTCACAAGCTGGGCTCAGCTGTCAATCAGGATGTGAAACCTCCATTTTATAGTTTCTATAAACTTGTTAAAACCAAACTTGAACTTGAACGTACATCAGCGATAAGAACTACCTAAAATGCAACAAACCATCTTTGAGAAAAAAGTATTTGAAGTATATTGTAATTTTTTAGTTTGGCCCATGTCCCATCTGCTAACATGGAGGCAACCGCGTTATGACCTTTACCAGAGCAATCAAGATATTTTGGGTTCACTTTTGGAGAGCTGTCGCTTCGTCCATCTTTATATGTCGATGTTCAAAACAAATAAGTAAAGTTTGGCAAAAAGTGCAAAAAGAAACTGCAGTTATTATAACAATGTTTTAACCTACACAATTTGTTGTTTCCATGGTAGCAGAAGTTGCATTATGTAAGAGATAATACTTGACAAGTGTGACGTGACTGTGGCTCATGATGGTTGGTTTGCCTCCATTCTGTGAAACCGATATTATGTCCCTTACACCATGTCCACTTACCTAAAATCTTATTTGTGTAGTTTTTGCTGAGATACTATTTATCTTTTTTTTGGTTGTTGTTGGTGGTTACGCAAATAAAACTCTTTAGAAGAATGTCAAACAAAAACGTATCTCATACACTGTTTCTAAAAGTTGATTCATACCTTCAAACCAATCAGAATCCAGAATTTTCAATGATCAATGACCTAAATATTGCATTAATAAATAATAATAAATAAGTAATGCTCTAATGTGACCAGTCATCCTATGCTGTTTTACCAACTTGCAAAAGAATTACAGAACATTTTTTTCTTTTAAATCCCCACAATCAAAAGTTATTCATACTTTTTTGGTAAAGCTGCTCCCAGAGGTTGCATCTGTCAAAGCTCTGTTGGTAATCCTGCCTTGAAACACGCTATCTACAGAGTTGATGAAACCGGACTTGCCAGCACCAACTGGTCCGTGAAGAAGAATTCTGAGATGACTGACTTCCTTGTTTTGAGGTCGATAAGATTTCACAAAATCCAAATTTTCCTGGTTGCTCCTGTTGATTGAAGGACAAATGTTAAAGAACTGTGTGTTTATACACAATAGGCTGATTGTGATTGTTGTTCTGTTTTCACACACACTGTAGGGTCAAAGGAGACCTTTAGATATGAACTCGTTCATTTGGTGTGGTTAACTGGGTCACTTCCTGTCACCTCATTCAGTCACCTCATGTGATCGTAACCTGATGCAGCTTGATGACGGGCGCTGTCCAAGTGATAAAACTCCTGAGAAAACTTCTTCTCACCTCGCTCGCCTACACCGGTGTGAGTTTTGGAACTCACAACAAAGGATTAAAGCACGGCATAAGAGCCTGCCTTTTCCTGCGATCCCTGGTCAGCACACCGCTAACGGGAGTCAACATCTGCAGCTTTAAAGAGAAAGTCTGCCAGCTGACTTTACTGGAGCAACACAACGTTAATGCAGAGTCGTTAGATTGTATATAGTGTATTTTCTTCAGTTTGCTTGTATTATCTTGTTAATAAATGCTTGTGTTTATACATGCTGGCTTATTTAATTTCGCACAAGGGTGTGTTATACCAGCCTCTTCTATGCAGAACACCAAAGCCTTCCACTTTAACTATTAATAGTGATTTTGGTTCTAGTTAATTCAATTATTAATCGGATTTCAAATAGTTTAGTGCAGAGACTGATCAATCAATTATTGGCTATCGTTTCCCTTACTTAAGGGTAGTTCCCAGAGGAACTTTAATATTAATTAAAGTCATTTTCTATTATCTTTTGATAATTAATAAACTTTGATAACCAAATTAATTGAGTACACTAATACATTTAAACCACTGTGTTTATCATAGCACCTACAACACAAATCAGTCAAAACCACAACAAACCATTTGAGTAATGTGTTAAGGAGCAGAACCACACACAGAGCACAGTAGTAAAGTACTTACTTTGGGATAGTCCTCCATGGCTGACTAAAAAGTGCTGAAAGGCAAATTATACATGTATGACATACAGTAAGACAAAGCTGTATTTTTAAAGTTCATCAACATTATGCCTTTTATTCTGTGAAAGTTATCATTATTACAGTTTGAATCATTTTTGCAATATCTTAGAGGAAGGTGTGACAGGTCAGGACTTACCTCCTCCCATAGCTGTAAAATGAGACATTCACTTGTAAATGTGTATGTATTTTAATGAAATTATTTTTTTAATTCCCTAAAAGTAAATGTTAACATATTTTGGACACTAGATAGTAAATATATTTTTTAAAAAGGACATATAAAAAAAAAATACACATTTGAATGAAAAGTTATGAGCAATGTAGGTAAGAGGAAATAAACAATGTTATGCAATCAGTGCTACACATGACAAAATATAAGACAATGAAAACAAGAGACATAGATAAAACCATCAAGACAGTAGTCTCAAATGACAACTACTATAATTAAAGTATGTCAAAGTCATGTCAACGTGTACTAAAAAAAATTAAAGTAAATATAAAATAAAAGTCAACAATTTTCAGGTTAAAGATCAATATTTAGACAAATAAAAAGATAGAGGGGAAAAGTGAAGGCTCATCTCTGCAGTACATAAAGCATGTCTAAAATAAAGAGACTAACTCAAACCATAATATTAGTTAAACATTAAACATTAGACATTAGGCTATTCCAAGTTCCTTCACTTTGACAAACAACACAACTATATAACTTAGTACAGTTTCTTGTAAAAGCAGTTAATAATCATGAGTTTAAGTTCTTAATCTAATGAATTGCAAATACAGATACCTTCGTTCGTAATGTTGTCGACCTCTAGCTAGTCTGATGATCTTTGATATGTATCATGTAAGGACACATATCTTTAAATGGTTTAAAATCCTTTCAGTTTCTTTTGCATCATGAGATTTGAAAGAATGTCCCTCTCTGACAGCAGTCCAGTCCAAGGTATGTGGGAGCTTTCAGTGATTACACTCCAACTGACATCTCAACTTCTTTTAACTCTCACACTTAACTGAAATTCAGCAGGTCCACAGTTTATTTCAATAATTGTATTTTAACATTTTCTTTAGAATATTTAGCATTTTATAGTTACACTCACAGTCCGGATGGGTGAGTAGCTTCACAAAATATTTTGATCAGTATCAAAGGAATTGTGTAGAGCTAGTCCTACTTCTTCCTTCCCACAATAAGGAAGGTTTCATATTTTCTATGTTGGTAATTTTGTGGCAGGACAGACAGCAGAGCTATAAAAAATGAATGCATTATATAACAGTGCTAGACTGGACACATTGTAGAAGGCTGGCAGCAGTGGTCACATGATTTAGCACCTTAATATCAATTGAAATATTTATTAAAGAATAATGTTTAACAATTGAATGGACTTTAATTTTTAAACTGTTCGATTCCAGCATAAATGCTGTCCTCTGGTGGATGTGTGCAGGTATATTGGAGAAAACATAAAGGATGTTCTAAGTGAAAAAGTTTGTGTATGCATAATACACTCTTGCAGCACTCCCACATTAGTAAGAAATAAGGCACATGTTAGAAAGACGAGCCCAACAGGACAGAAAGCCTGCATTACAAACAAAAGGGTTTTATGAGCCTGAGTTGTAGGAAAATGTATCACATCTAAAGAAGCATAAGCTTTTCTGGAAAAAGTTGGAGAGATGTGGTTTTGTGTGGAGAGATGAAATTATCCTTAAACACCCACCTTAAGCCCCACATTATAAAATGCTGAGTAATCCACTGAATACAAATGATAAATGCATTGTTTTTTTACTTGCAGAGTTATTGCATTTCACTATTCTAATATATCCCATTACATATCATCTGAATTGATGAACAGACATAGACATCTGTGATGAGAAGAAATTGTTTTAGAAATAAAACAGTGCTGTGAAAAAAAATTGTCGGAATAACTTTTGGAAATAAAATCTATCTGCAATAAACACTGTTATTGTAAAAAAAAAAGAAAAAAGAACATGTAAGAAATAACAGAATAACAAACTGAAGTAGGATAATATATAAGTGAATAACTGTATATAATTGTACATATATTGTGTGTTAATTTATATAATTATTTATTTCACAATGTCATATATATTTCATCTTTGATTGCACACTTTGATTTTCGATACAAACAACCATAATTTTTTCACATCCAGGTTGATGAAATCTTCTCTAAAGGTAATCATCTGTCTCAACACATTAATGTCATTATTAATGTTGATTTCTTAATTATAGTAATTATAGTACTTCACAAGGAAGATGCACTTCAGTGGAATACTATAAATGTAATCACAAATATAATCACTTCCAATATGACAATATAATCTACCGTATGGACTAGAAAGAATTATTTGGGGAGATTACATTTACAAGCATCCCTCCCAAAACCCTTGAATGAAATAAAGGGAAACAAATGACAAATTGTATTGTTTACTGTGGTTTTATTTTAACAGCCCTACTTTAGCACAATGATTCAATATGTAGCGGTTCGAAGATGCTGTTGTAGCAACAGATATCTGCCATGTGTAATATATAACCGATGTTTAAATAAGTTTAACTTTTCAACCACATTTGCCAGTTTAAGCCCGAACATTTTGACCTGTTGCTAATCATGAGATTCATAATCACTTTGGGACTGCAATGCGAAATATTACCAAAGGATCAAAAAAGCATAGCTAACACTGCAATAAAACTCCAAAAGTGCTTGTTTCATATGCACATGTAGGTTTTAAGTCTATTCATACTTTATTCAGCAAACTAGAACACAGGTTATAAGATCATCCGATTGATAGTATTACATGCCAAAGAAATACAGCCATAATTTCAGCTTTATCATATTCCTGTTTGCAACTTGTTTGTTCATGCTCGAAAAAGCAACATTTGCCCTGGCATGTAGGTCTACAGGTTGTTGACAAGTCTTCTCCAAATCAAGCACCTGTCTCAGTGCACTCAGTATAAGTGTATATGTCATCATCTGTGGTGATCTCTGAGTGGTGTTCTTCACAGGAAGATGCAGTTCGTGGAATACCCAGTGACACACTGAATTCCTCCATCTAAATTTGAACAATTTGACAAATGAGAAATTACAACAAAGTGCTTAACAAAGAATTTTTGTGTTAAAATATATATTCCAACTTGAATAATAACTCAAACCAAGACTTACCTTTTCTTCAGGGACTTGCTCTTATCACATTCCTTGATCTCTTTTGACTTCTGGACAGGCTTCATCAATATTGGTGAGAATAGCCAGTTGGGGAATCCCTGCCGATAGGAGCAGATTGTGAGTCAATGATGATCATGTTTGTCAGGTTATTTGATTCAACTTATTAAAAACCCAATAACTAACCCTAATCCTTACCCATGTCCCTGGCTGAAAGTCTGACATCCCTATCTTTTCACAGTTTCATCACTCAGTAAATGTATTGTGTTGGCAGAGATGACACAAACCGAACATGAATTTGTTATAGAGTGGGGTTGTTGTTGTGTGACAATCATCCTCGATATTGTAGAGAGTATTGAACTGGAAAACAATGTGAAATTTAATTAAAGAATGACTTTTGCAAGTTAATAGTTAATTATATATAAGAATATATGTTTATGTGAATACAATTGTTTATTCATAACGGATCACAAAGCTGGATTGTGTTAATGAAATAAAGCCAACAAAGTTGAAGTAATTCAATAATTGTACTTTGTAACCATCTTTTATGTGTCCCCTCATGGCCAGTTTGATGTCCTCCACACCAACTCCTTTATTAGTGTCCTTCTCAGGCCCATGATGTCAGTGAACGCAAAAGGGTAAAATGTTCCTGGTTCTCCTTTTGGAAGTTTGTACTGTAAAACAGAAATGTGCAGTTATGATGACAAAAATACAACATAATGATCAATACCATAAAGCATTTTCTTTCTCCCTCCTTTCCTCTCAATTTCTCCATTCTTCTTTTTACCCTATTTTTTTTTCAAATAAACATTTAAATTTAAATAAAAAAATTTAATAAATTTAAATAAATATTAAAAAAATTTATAAATTTAATAAATTTTTAAAAAAAATTAATAAATTTAAATTAAAAAAAAAAAAAAAAAAAAAAAAAAAATTAAATTTTTTGTGACAGACTGCATCAACCAAAGCTCGACCAGTGATTCTGCCTTGTAGAAGACTGTCGACAGAGTTGATGAAACTGGACTTTCCAGAACCAGCTTCTGTATTATGAGGCTGATAATCCTTCACAAATGGCAGATAGTTCTCTTTGCAACTATTCAAAGAACATTTTGAATCAGGTATTAAATCCAAATCAACCACAAAAACAAGAAATTAAACCTTAGAAAGTTTTTATTATATAAGAGATCAGATAACACATAGTTACCCCCATTGTATTTTCCTCCAATTGTCCACTTAAAGCTAACAGCAAACAGCACAAAACATTAACAAAGCAAACTTACATAAAAGATGAATTCACCAAACTGGGAGCTAAAATCTTAAATGTCTTACTCACAGGAGGGGTGCTGGCAGGTTGAGATGTCTTAGTGGCGCTGGCAGGTTGAGATGAATTCCCTCCCATTACTACAAAATAAGATTTTTATTTATAACTTATAGTAAAGATAGAATAAGTCAAACTATTAATAAAAGATAACTGGACTGACTTGCAATTTATCACTGATAAACCAGACTCAGTGTGCAACAATGTTGTAGATAATATATATCATAATAAATTGCATATATTTTTAATGACAATACTTAACATAAAATGTTAAGTATAAAAATAGAAAGTGACTCATGCACAGCACCCATTTTAAAAAATATATATTTAAAGTAAATGTATAGCTTATTAAACTGAAGCAAAATCATAAAAAAGCTTCAAGCTACTATATTTAAATTACTAAATTCTTACAGTGCAGTTTACTACTGCATTTGAGGAAAGATATAAAAAAATAAATAAATCTTACCTCTTAATGTTGTTCTGGAACGAAGAAGGTACTGAACTCGTGAATTGCCAAGTCACTGGGGTGTGACTCTCTCTCTCTTTTGAGTCGATGTCTAGTGTGATGCTGCAGCTTTTTAAACATGTTGAAAACCTATTGACTTCCTTTTACTTTCTTTTTGGTCACATGATTTCTTTGAAATGGACTCTCTTCTGAGGTCCTTATTAATTAAGTACCCACTTTAACCCAAAACCAGTATTTTTAACATAATAAGTAATGTTAACATAAATCAAACCTTCACTTTTTCTTCAAAAGTGATTTTGTAACAGACAAATTATGTTGTCCTGCCAATGTCCATATCCGAAAATAAGTCATTTTATTAGGACACAAAACTGTCCTTGTCCACTTATAATATTAAATAAAATCCAGGAATAGTAGTTGTTGTAACCCCTCTCCAGACCTGTCCTTTAAAGGGGAATACAGGGTATCTAAGTAGATGTGACCTGGGCAGTTAATCACCCTGACAGCAAGTGCGACAACGCCACCCTAGGACTTTCACCCAGAGAATACCCACTTTCACAGGCTCTTATAGTACAGAGAAAAAAGGAGCAGAGATGTGAATTTACAGTTTCAACCACTTAGTTTATTTACACAGATTTAATTTCAGACTCATAAGTAATCAACTTTGGGACAGGTTAAAATTTAGGATTTATTACCAAAATATATTTATGATTCACTAAATAGATAATTACCAGTGCAAGGGGGAGGGGGGTCACCACCACCAGTAGGTACAGGGAAGAGGAGGTCACACACACTGCAAAACAATAAAGCACATAATTAGAATACACAGAAACTTAAGCATGCACATGAGCCCCACTATATCACTAACTCACAAGAATGGTTAATAAAAGAAAATAAATAGGACAACTAAATTGACCAAGAAAACACAGACCAGCTATCAAAATACACAGTAAAACAAGGTATATACATAAATAATTTTAAAGCTAGCCAGAGGACTAGGTCATGGGAAGAGATTTTCCATTTTTTTTAAAAAAAAAAAACAAAAAAAAAATATATAATATATATGGTAAAAAAAAAAAAAAATATAAAAAAAAAAAAATATTTAAAAAATAAAAAAAAAAAAAAAAAAAAAAAAAAAAAAAAAAAAAAAAAAAAAAAAAAAAAAAAAAAAAAAAAAAAAAAAAAAAAAAAAAAAAAAAAAAAAAAAATAAAAAAAAAAAAACAAACTACTTTTAGAGGGAGGAAAAAAAAAAAAAAAAAAAAAAAAAACAAAAAAAAAAAAAAAAAAAAAAAAAAAACAAAAGCCATTAACAATTTACACCTTAGTTGGAAAACAGCATCCCTCAAACAAATGTGGAGTCAGGATAGGGTGAGACAAAACCTACTGCTGACTGCTACACAGCTACATTTAAGGACTGAGAAGTGATATGTCTCATCTGCTGACAATCAATGATTGCAGGGTGTGGCTAAACTAGAGTGGGGAGGGAACGCTACCCATCACATAGACAACAGGGGTTAGTCTCTAACCTAAGTTCAATGAGGAGATTGGTCGTAAATAACTTAAAAGACTGCTCAGTAGATAGGAAACATCCACCCAAAGTGATGCACACAGCAATAGATTGACTGTGTATAAAGGAAATACATTGTATTCAAGTGACAGTATCCCATGAAGCAAATACCACTAGTGGTATGTTGAAACCAATGAAAATAAATGTGTTACAAGTAACCAGAATACCTACAAGTCCAGTAAATAAGCAATAGAATTGTTATGCAACAATTACCTTAATTATATTACAACGACACCAAGTGGATTTACAAAAATCTTTCCACACATTAAATGTTCTTTTGGAAATGTGGATGAAGATGAGACGGCAACAGGGATGGAGATGTGGATGAATGACAGCATATAAGACGGCAAATGAAGAGCTCTACAAAAAAAACAGCCGTGATTTAAAACGTTCGCAGTCTAAGCATCTCTCTGCAAAGTTGCAGCTCCTCAATCAACTTCTGTTTTCCAGTATTAAAGTACCACTTCTACCACTTTATGCATGCTGAAGCAGAATGTAGCAGGAACTGTCTACCTAACTGAAAGTGACAGTAAGACCATATTAATGCAGGGTTAAACTACCCTGGTTACATATACTTTAGGATTGTGTGTGTTATGGATGGAAAAAATTACTACTTAACTCTAACCTTTGGAAATAAAATCTGCTAGAATTAAATAACTAAACTATCTGCAATAAACTCTGTTATTGTGAAAAATGTAGGATGAAATTACATTCAGAATAACAAACTGAAGTAGGCTTATACACTCCTGAACAAAATCTTAAGACCGGGAAAAAAAAAAGTATTCGCATTTCGCGTTGGTGGAACATAACCAGGTTGTAAGTAGAGCTTCAAAATGCCAAAAGAAGAGACAGGAGCAAGAGACAAAACAATAGAGGAGACAATTTATTGAAAATTGCATTTAAACTTAAACAGGCTGTTCATCAGCTGATCAAAAGTTTAAGACCATAGCCTTAAAAAGTCCAAATCTGTGCAAAAATCTGGCTTTCATGTTATTTTCTATCAGGCATTCACACTGTCATGACCACCTGATGGGAAAGGCAAAAAGGCTTTCTGTCTTTGAACGTGGCAGGATTGTTGAGCTGCACAAGCAAGGCCTCTCGCAACGCGCCATCGCTGCATGTCATGTCATTTTAAATTTCTTAAAAGGTCCTGAGGGTTATGGGACAAAAATGTCAAGTGGCAGGCACAAAAAAATTTCACCTGCACTGAGCCGGAGGATCCAACGGGCTGTCCGTAAAGACACAGGCCGATCCTCGACCCAAATTAAGGCCCTTACTGATGCTGACTGTAGCGCAATAAGCGCATGTTCCCCTTATCTAAATCCCATTGAGAAAGTTTGGGGATGGATGGCAAGGGAAGTTTACAAAAACAGAGATCAGTTCCAGACTGTGGATGCCCTTCGTGAAGCCATCTTCACCACATGGAGCAACATTCCCACCATCCTCCTGGAAACACTTGCATCAAGCATGCATAAACGAATTTTTGAAGTGATCAACAACAATGGTGGGGCTACTCACTACTGAGTCCTTTTTTTGACACTTTTAGTTCTGTTTTGGGTTTTTTAAGGCTATGGTCTTAAACGTTTGATCAGCCGATGAACAGCCTATTTGAGTTTAAATGCAATTTTCAATAAATTGCCTGTGCTATTGTTTTGTCTCATGCTCCTGTTTCTTCTTTTGGCATTTTGAAGCTCTACTTACAACCTGGTTATGTTCCGCCAACGCAAAATGCGAATACTTGTCATTTTTCCCCCGGTCTTAAGATTTTGTTCAGGAGTGTATATGTATGACCATATAAAGTCTGTTGATTCATTGTATGGCTGTATATAATTGTACATATTGTGTATTAATTCATAAGATTATTTATTTAACAATGTCATATATATATATAATCTTGCACACTTTGATTTTCCATACAAACCAGCATCCTTTTTTCACATTCAGGTTTTGTACATGTTGAGGAAGTCTTCTCCAAAGGTAATCATCTGCACTCGGTCTCAACACATTAATGTCATCGTTAATGTTGATTTCTGAATCATAGTTATTCACAAGAATGATGAAGTTCAGTGGAATACTATGAATGTAATCACAAATATAATCACTTCCAATATAATATAATCTACCGTATGTCTCACAACCCACTCGGGTCCCTCTTACCATTTCTCCGAACCCCTCTGTCCATTCATCCATCCGCCAACAAACCCACCTTTCTTCGATCCATTCATCCCTCACCCTTCATTCCGATATCCCTCCATTCCAATACCCTTCATCCCTCGACCCCTAACCCCATCCCTCTACCACTACCTTCATCCCCCCTACCCTCCCATATTATATATATATCTATATATATATATAGATATATATATAAAATATATATACAATATATTTTGATAACTTGTAGCAAAGACATAGAATAATTCAAACTATTAATTCAAGATAACTGGACTGACTTGCAACTTATCACTGATTAACTAGACTCAGTGTGCTGCAACAACAACATCGTATATAATATATATCATAATATTATAAATTGCATATATTTATTTTTAGTGACAATACTCAACATAAATCAGAAATAGAAAGTGACTCATGCACAGCACCCATTTTAAAAAAAACAAGACTTAAAGTAAATGTATACCTTATCAAACTGAAGCAAAATCATATCAACAAAGAAGCTTCAAGCTAGGTACTGAATTGATGAACTGCTATGTCACTGACAGTGTCCTCAGTGATGCTCTTTTGAGTCAGTGTCTAGTGTGATGCTGCAGCAACCTACTGACTTACTTTCACTTTCTTTTTGGTCACATGATTTCTTTGAAACGGACTGGAGTGTTGCATTGCAGTCTGTCCAGACACAAGTAACGGTAAGGCCTTACTATTAAGTCTCTCCTCAGATAACAGTTTCGCTATTATTGTTTAGGTATTGAAGAAATATAGAACAAACTATTTCATTGTTGATTTCATCGAAGAAAGGTGGGTTTGTTGGCGGATGGATGAATGGACAGAGGGGTTCGGAGAAATGGTAAGAGGGACCCGAGTGGGTTGTGAGACATACGGTAGATTATATTATCATATTGGAAGTGATTATATTTGTGATTACATTCATAGTATTCCACTGAACTACATCATTCTTGTGAATAACTATGATTTAGAAACAACATTGACATTAACAACATTAACGATGACATTAATGTGTTGAGACCGAGTGCAGATGATTACCTTTGGAGAAGACTTCCTCAACATGTACAAAACCTGAATGTGAAAAAAGGATGCTGGTTTGTATGGAAAATCAAAGTGTGCAAGATTATATATATATGACATTGTGAAATAAATAATCATATGAATTAATACACAATATGTACAATTATATACAGCCATACAATGAATCAACAGACTTTATATGGTCATACACATACACTCTTGAACAAAATCTTAAGACCGGGGGAAAAATGACAAGTATTCGCATTTCGCGTTGGTGGAACATAACCAAGTTGTAAGTAGAGCTTCAAAATGCCAAAAGATGGATGGAATAACTTGGACTCTGAATTACAACATTTGACAATACTCACTGACTTACAGAACAAGACAAACTGACAAAGACAAAAAGGAGACAAGGACTATTTATACCATGTGAGAGTGGAAACAGGTGAAAGCAATCAGGACTGACACATGCACAAAGGGGATTGGATGCGACCAGTGAAACTCAGGATGTGAATATGTTAGTACACAGCTCATTACATAACATTGGTCTACTGCTTATATTTTAATGTGGAAATGTTACGTATTATATCTTTAATTTTATCGAATTTTGATAGCAGAACCTTTAATTGTAGTATTTTTATATCAAGTAAACAATCTTTATACTTTTTCCACCATTGGGCCATTCATTTACACATGAATACTTATGGATCTTGAACAGAACCAGAGCTAATCTGGTAGAAAAGTCCCCATTTAAAGTTAGAATTGCTGTGTTTTCAACCATTAATTTTAACTCAACTCACTATATTGACATCACATTTAACTCCTAACTTATCATGGATGAATGAAAACATATTTTTAATTCAATTTCAGTGATCTCATGTCATTATCTCATAGTTTTTGTTGTATTTTGATAGTAATGTTTTTACATGTATTTATTTATTATTATTTTCTTTTAATATTTCAGAGATTCTTCCACATACAACTAAAGGGAGCTTGCATACCACCAGATGACTATAGTTTGAGAACCAGTCCTTTACAGCTATGGGATGTAAGTCATGAACTGTCTCAATTTCACCATGCAGATGTTCTAAATATTGCAAAGTTTGATAATGATAACATCTACAGAAAATAATGCATTATGTTGGTGAAGTTAAAATACGAATTTGTCTTTCTGTATGTCAACATATGTCATTTGCCTCTCAGGGTTATTTAGTAAGCCATGGAGGACGATGCCAAAGTGAGTATGTATAAACAAGTCAGTGTGGTGCCATTGTGCCTTTGGTGTGTGTTAATACATTATGCCCTGGTCATACTGCATAGCTTTCAAATTAGTCAGCTTGCTGTACTGTTCACACTACACCACTTTCTGTCATGTAATCAGAAGTCTTTGTGGTTTCCACACTACATGACGGATCAGCAACAGGGTGTCACAAACTCAAAGATATATATAAACGTAACTCTAGAAACTCAAGGCTACCCGTGTCTGCTCTCATTGGCTGAACCTAATTGCATGGTTCCCCGACACGACTGGATATTTAGGCTGCTAGATATTTGTTGGGCATCTGTAAGGCATCGGCAAGCCCTCTGATCTTGTCTTTGAGCAGGTCACACATAGCGATCATCCTCATAGGAGCGAGAAATTTCCCTATAAAAATTGTTGGCAAGTGGACAATCAGGGCTAAAATTATGTAGAGTGAACTCGTGTGGCGGCAATTTGTTTAATTAAGCATACAGAGTATGATCTTGTCTTTCTGTAAGGTTTTATTCAAGTCATCCATGAATGGTCTCAACGCAACCGTCACACAATCTCGTATGTGAAAGTCTTAAAGGGCCCAGATTGGAAGAAGCAGTATGGTCTTATCCCTGTTGGAGCATCACTCCAACACAGTTACACATTCCTGAGTTCTGGGACAGTAAACAGACAGATAGTGTGGTGAGATGATCATGTCCTTGGCTTCTTGTCTGGAGTCTCAACATCTTGCTGTTTACTTTGACATAGAGTGTAGTTACAAACAGGGTTAAAGGTTATATGCATATAATATGCTCTTTATTACTCTTTAACAGTTGCATATGGTTTTACAATGACCAGGTCAAAGGGTTGTATAGGTTCTTAAAAATGTCCATTACACTTGGCATTACTCAAATGGTTTGTTGTTGCTTTGGCTGGTTGGTGTGTGTGTGACAACAGAGCAACAAAAACAATATGCCTATTGTGCATTCAAACATCAAAATAATGCAGTATTTTATTAATGTTTTTTTTTCTTCACAGGAACAACGAGGAAAATCTTGAATTTGTGAAATCTTACCAACCTCAAAACAAGGATGTCAAACATCTCAGAATTCTGATTCATGGACAAACCGGTGCCGGAAAGTCCAGTTTCATCAACTCTGTTGAAAGTGTTTTAAAAGGCAGAGTTACAAACCGAGCTTTGACAGATGCCACCTCTGGGAGGAGCTTTACCGAAGAAGTAGGAATAACTCTTGACTGTGGCGATTTTAAGCAAAACGTTTCTTAATGTTTTAAGAATTTCAGATTGGTTTAAAAACATATCATAAACTTAATCGAAGTGGGTAAATAAGCATCAAGTATCTGACAACTGACCACATTCAGCGAGAAAAAGACAAAAACAACACAGTGAAAAGCAAGCTCATTAAGTGAATGGTGATCACAATAAATAATAATAACATATTATAATATGTAATGTATATATGTGTATATATAATATAATAACAAAGGGGAAGACCACGAGCCAACAGCCACAAAGTTCCTCCACCCAAGTCAAACTTATAGATATATATATATATGGGTGTAATGTATGCTAGGGACTGTGGAGATTTGACCACCATGTGTCTGAGTACATACATTTGTATTCATAGAGAACCATTCAAGGCTGAGCTGGGTGTTTGTACCACCAAACCTGGAGAAAATGTCACAGGCCATCAAAGACAAGGATGATTTTCAGCCTGAGCAATACTGTGCTGACCTGGACAAAGTGGTAGCAGTTCAATTGGCATTTTGGTGAGTTAGATGCAAAATGACAGCTGAAAGGCAGATCAAGGGACAGTGACTTCTGGGGACTTGACAGGAGGAAGATGTTTCCTCTCCTAACTGGATCAGCAGTTCCTGAGGCAGGTTGAGCTTCCTGAGCTGGCACAAGAAGCAGAACCTGAAGGTTTCCACTGCAGACACAGGGCTGGTGATAAGGCGGGGGGGCAGGGTTTGGGAACTCCCCCTAAAGTCTAATGTTACCTCACAGTTTTGAGCAGGTTAAGCTAAGTATATATAACTAGGCCATCCATTCATGGTGTAGCTCCACACCTTGCTCAGTAGAGGATCTTTCAAAGTAGCTCTCTTAATGTCTTTGGCACACACTGGTAGCTTCTCCACATGTGAGAAGTGGACAATGCTTCCCTCTTTTGCTGTGTTGTCTGTCAAGGCTCGGGGTAGGCGTGAGAAAGCATCAGCTTTTTCATGATCAGCTTATGTCCTGTATTTGATTTCAGCAGTTGTATGCTATGGGAATGAGAGGTGTTGCATCCTTAATGTTGCAAGGGTTGGAATTGCTTATTTTGGCCCCAGATTGGCCGGGAGTGGCTTATGATCCATGAGGAGTGTTTCTACCGTACAGATATTTGTGGAATTTCTAATGTCCTGTTTAGAAGCAGCAGTTCAATCATCTTGATGACCAGGGAGTGGACATTTGCCAGATGTACTGACAGTGACACGGTCTCAGCTTCTATGGCGGCCCTGGCAAATCCCATAGAGCTCTGCTGCTCATCCAACTAATAACTCCGTAAAACTTTCTGTTTGAATGAAAACCAGTGAAAAAGTTGACCAGTGGATAGTCTGATGTTTAAAAGATCCTCTTTGATGAATGTGACCAGAGAGGGGAGAGCAGAAAATTTAACAAAAACATATCATCCTTTACACAATATATAAAATGTGTGCAGAAATAACACTAAGTAAGTAAGTACCATCATGGATGTATTATAAGAGCTGGATACTGGAATCAAACGTGGCATCGATTCACTTATGTGAAAATTGCTTTCTGAGTTCAACTTTCATAGCTTCCAGGTTTACCTCCGCATACTAACATCTCAAAGCTGAATAACACGAATAGCAAAATAGTAAATATTTGTGTTGGTGGAATTAGCTAACATGGTGTAAATAACTGTACCTTCTCCTTTACAGTACACAACCTACAAAATCCAAAAAGAGTCAGGGAACTTTTATTCTTTTTTTTTCAATGACACCATGGGCCTAGAGAATGACAATGACAACGGAATTCATGTGGAAGACATCAAACTCGCCCTGAAGGGACATGTGAAAGAGGGTTACCAGGTACGATCCTTTAAACGCTGAGATTATTTAATGTGGCTCTGTGGAGTTTTCTTGAAAATACTAAGCATCCATGTTTAGTACTGCAGCTAGCAGTCCCCATCTCTCCTGACTTTGCATTGCAGTATTTCTGGTGCATTACCACCACCTAATAGACCTGTGGAATAAGCTCAAATCATTGGCAGGAATGTGTATCCCATGTAGCATAACTTAGAGAAAAAGTGCTGTTTTTACTATTTTGCATTAAACACATTTTCACTTAAAAATGCATTACATTGTTCATAAAAAAACATTATTTTATTTTATTGTTTTCTAGTTCAACCCTAAAAAGCAATTGACGAAGAGTGATCAGCACTACAAGTCATCTCCCACGTTGGATGATAGAGTTCATGTTCTGGTTTCTGTCTGTCCTGCTGACAAGGTGTCTTTATTAACTGATGAAGTTATAAAGAAGATGAGAGACATCAGACTAGCAGCCAGTAAAATGAGTAAGAGCAGGCATCAGTTGTTATTACTGTGCATGGACTGTTAAAAATTATTTTGAAAAAATAATTAAAATACCAGCAAAATAAATGATTGAAATACTGATTAGGTTTCTGTATCAGCAGAGATTCCCCATCTGGCTGTCCTCACTAAAGTTGATCTGGCCTGTCCTAAGGCAAAACAAAATATAAACAACGTCTACAAGAGCGACTACCTGAAGAAACAGGTACGTTTCTGTTGGTGGCTTGGGGATTGTGGTTAAGAGGAAACAAGAATCTCGTTTGGTCATCACTTTGCAATTATTGATCAATGGAGATGCCGTTACTTTAAAACTTAGGTTGAGAAATTCAGCGAGACACTGGGCATTCCAGAGAACTGCATCTTTCTTGTGAAGAACTACAACTCAGAAATCGAGACGAATGATGACATTAATGTGCTGATACTGGTTGCACTGAGACAGATGGTCAATTTTGGAGAAGACTTCCTCGACAACCTGTAGATGTAATTTACATGGTTCTTTATGATGACTTTTTATTATCATTATTCATCATTATATCATCATATCATTATATCATTATTATGTAATTCGTATAATATTCACTTTATCATGTGATTCTTTATCACATGAAGTTGAATCAGAAATTTTGTCAAAATGTATCTTATTGCTTGTTATTTTACTTTGATGAATGAAGTACTGTATTAGTAAGCTGTTCAACACCTGGATGTGCAGAAAGGATGCTTGTTTATGTGAAATAAAAATGTGTTAAAACATTTGTTTTGTGTCTATACATTTTTATATGTAACCAAGACTAGGTCTAAACCTAGTATATTGCTGGACCGTGTATGGTCAGTGGTAGTGTCTATAACGTCAATTCCTGGATTTTAAATGATAATTTGTAATTTTCTTTTTTTTTTCTGTGGTCCAAGTAATATTTGTTCTTAATGGGTAGCAGATCACAACATGGTTAAGCTAAGCTTAAGGTTAAAAACAACGAAACACTTTCCACCTATTTTTTAAGATGTTTGATTTGAAAGAAAACTTATTCTAACTTTTTAAATTATCTATTAACTCCCTTTTCTCTTTCTTGTTTCTATTGTTTCCTGTTTTTTTCCATGACACATGATAGAAAAGTATTGCATTCACTTGAAAAAAAATCTGCTGTTTTTCTTAATTAACAAGATACCTCTAGCACACTCTCCATGCCTAGGGTCGGCTCTCGGCTCCCTTAGCCAAATCCTAACCCAACCCTCTAAGGAATATGCCATGAAGTCCTCACCTCAGCCAAAAATCAGACCGATCTGATCAGTTTTGCAAGAGTTACAGTAGAAAAACAGATTTTGACATTGGAGAGTAAAAAATTCAAAATGGAAGTGTTTTCTATGTTTCAGGTAACGTTTATTTGTGGAAGATTGTAAATGTCATCTTACAATGCTTTCTCAACTGGTGTATTACAACCCTACTTGTTCTGAATGGGTCTCTGAGTGTGTGGTCAAAGAAAAAAATGTTCATGTATACTAGTGGTTGGTGGCTGTGGCAAAAATTGGGTCAGGAGGAAAACCAACCCACAGCGTCATGTTATGTTACATTAGTTGGCTACTTATCTATAATTTCTTCTTCTGAAGTGACCCAGGTGGCAAATGTTGATCTAAAGGGACTAAAAATCTAAAAATCACATTGATTCTGATATGACTGTTCACACTTAGGACATGTTGCAAAAAACAGTTCTGTTTTGTGATGAATGAAATGAAATGAAAATGATCAGATTCCATGTGTGCTGTTCACACTGTCATTAAAAAAACTGTCACATATAAAAAAATCTAATTTGGGTCACTTTGGCCTGCAGTCTGAATGCGACCATAGTGTTATTTTTATCCCACTCATATTAAAGATGTATTTCCTTTCTCATTATATGTGTATATGTATATTGTATAATATTATTTTTTTTTAAAAAAAAAAAAATAATAAAAAAAAAAAAAAAAAAAAAAAAAAAAAAAAAAAAAAAAAAAAAAAAAAAAAAAAAAAAAAAAAAAAAAAAAAAAACATTATATGTGCAGGAAAGTTTATTAGACAAGTACATATACACCAACAAGACAGTGTACAAGCATTGTGCCTGTGCTCCGCACTGTGACAGGAGCGGCTCTCAAAAGCAGCGGCACTTACACAGAGACAGACAGACAGCATGATCCCATTACACTGGTATTGATCAATATCAATACCAACGTTTTTTTGGATCGATACTACTGAACAGTGCCGAGTCTGCCGGAGAAAAAGAAGACGTTACATTAGCTTGTAGGGCTTGATTAATTCATCTTAAACTGCGATTTTAACAATTTTAAAACGTGCTTAAAACAAAATGTACTAACCGGAAGAAATTAACAACCAACTCCTAATAAGTTTTTTCTATGTCGGGGCTCAAATTTAGAGTGCAGTAGATAGAGTCAGTCTAGCTTGATTGACAGGTCGCCACAGACTTGTCAATCACAAGGTAGCCCCGCCCTAAAGCATACCCTGCTTTATCATCTATTTTCCTCTAAATAGGATCGGAAATTACACCTTTAAATGAACATCATGCTGTGTTGAAAAGGACTTGAAACTGATGATTAAGATCAAAAACTCATAAGAAAAATGTTTAATGAGATAACAGTCAAGTGGGAAACTTATTTTATCATTATTTCTGATGGAACTGGGCTTCTTTATCCAGTGAAGTCGCCCTCTGCTGGCTGTTGGAAACAATGCAGGCTTACTCTGCACTCGATTGCTTCTTCCTCAAGGACCTTAACCTTTCTGTGACCTTAAAAGTGAATTTTGTGCATTGAAATTGAATTTAGAGAACTGAATTTGAATTGAGAGAACTGAAAGTGAAAGTACATAAAAAGTTGAATTTTTAGTGAGGCTCAAATACAGTTCCAGTTGCAAGTGAATTCAGATTCATATTATATATATAGATATATATAGAGAATTTGTAAGTAGTGTTGCTTTCGTCAACGAAAATTATGACTAAATATCATCGTCAGCGAACCTTTATCACGTGATGGAAACGAGACGAGACGCAACGTAAATGGTGGTCATGTGACGAAAACTATAATCAAATATATAATGCAATATTGTTGACGAATAAAAACGGGACTAAATGTGGTTTGCTCTGCTAAAATATCTCTTCATTTTCGTTGACCAAAACGAGACGAGACGAAATGTTATAACATTATTTCATCTCGCTACTATTATTATTTTGAAGTATTTCTGTTTCCTGAGAGCGCAGACACAGGCGGCGTCACTTCCTCAATCCCCACTCGCGGCATTATTTGATGCAGCTGTGGTGCGTTAACGCTAGTCACAAACACATACATTTTATTTGCATTTTGTTATTATGTTATTGTAGCTCGAGCAATCAAGCACCTTGTTTCACTTTAAGTTAAACTTGAATGTAATGTCAATTCTTTCTGGCATTGTCATTTGGAGCTATTTTATTTATTTAATTTAAATTTATGTGTGTGTACTTCTTACATGTTACATGTAAAATACATATGTTGTCAATTCAAATCAGAGCGTCTTCCGTGTCTGGAATTGAATGTATTCTTGAGTCTATAAGGTAACAATAATATAATAATAAGATAACCTTGTTTGACTTGTGAAATGGGTGACTTTAAAGAACATTTTGGTTTTGTCTATACTATACTAGGTACTTGTGCTATATTAACTGGGTTAAATAGTTTACTAAAAGGAGACTAAAATACAATTTAAATTGACTAAAACTAGACGTAAATAGTCATTGATAATCTGACTAAAATAAGACTAAATTGCTCAGACTTTTAGTCGACTGAAACTTGACTAGACTAAAAAGAGTATAAACGTGACTAAAACTAATAAAAACTAAAATGACAGTTTGACACAAAGACTAGACTAAAACTAAAATTAAAGGGCCGCCAAAAACAACACTATTTGTAAGTTGTATACTGTAAGGAAGGAGTTGAAGGTATTTGTATTATTTTAGCAAATTCAGCAAGTCAGAGATTTGCTAGTATTTGATGATTCTGCAGACACTTTTAGTTTATTTTAGCTTTTTGTAAAGAGCCTGTCTGCCTCCAATTTGTACTCATATCATTTTTGTCACTTAAAACCATCAACCTATAAAAGATGGATTTACTCGTCTCACTGTACAAAACTGAAGCCAAGATATCCCGCATACAGCTGCTGCCATTTTTCTGTCTGCACAGTCGTGATCGGTGTTGGCACTAAAGTCTCACCCACAAGCTGGGCTCAGCTGTCAATCAGGATGTGTAATCCCCTTTTTATAGCTTAAAAAAACTTGAACTTGAACCTACATCAGCGATAAGAACTACCTAATGCCACAAACTGTCTTTGAGAAAAAAGTATTTGACGTGTATTGTCATTTTAGTTTGGCCCATGTCCCATCTGCTAACATGGAGGCAACAGCGTTATGACCTTTACCAGAGCAATCAAGATATTTTGGGTTCACTTTTGGAGAGCAGTCACTTCGTCCATCTTTATATGTCGATGTTCAAAACAAATAAGTAAAGTTTGGGGAAAATAGCAAAAAGAAACTGCAGTTATTATAACAATGTTTTAACCTACACAATTTGTTGTTTCCATGATAGCAGAAGTTGCATTACGTAAAGGATAATACTTGACAAGTGTGACGTGACTGTGGCTCATGATGGTTGGTTTGCCTCCATTTTGTGAAACCGATATTATGTCCCTTACACCATGTCCACTTACCTAAAAAATACCACATGTAAAATCTAATTTGTGTAGTTTTCGGTGAGATACTATTTATCTTTTTTTTGGTTGTTGTTGGTGGTTACGCAAATATTACAAGCTCCAAACTCTTTACAAGAATGGCAAAAGAAAACGTATCTCATACACCGTTTCTAAAAGTTGATTCATACCTTCAAACCAATCAGAATCAGAAGTTTTTTTGTGATTGTTGTGGGCAAAAATCCTTGATTATGCGGCACGTTTTCTTAAAAAATGCAATGGAATATGCAGGATATTTATGCAATTTTATGTGATGAAATTGCGGGAACTTGCAAAAACTGCGGTTTGATGAAAAAGAGAAAAAAAAGTTATTCCCCCAACACCCTGTTCTCACTAGGCTACTACCTTAATGTAAAGAGTCATTTCTTATTACTTCCTATGATAATCAAGCATACTACTACATCACAGAAAGTGCTGGAAATATTTAAGTTCTCATCTTGTTTTATTTCAGACCTTAATAAACACATGGCTCAAACTTACAAAACATTGATGAGTCAGACTTAGACTTAGACTTCTCTTTATTGATCCTTTTGGGATGACTCCTGCAAGGAAATTGAATTTCCAGCAGCTTACAAAACAGTGTAGAAAAATAAAGAGGTATAAAAAAATACAGTACAAGATAAACAATAAACTCTTTTCTAGATATAGAAAGTAGACAATAGAAAGTAGAGATAAGAATACAAATAAATTAAGATAAAATTCACAGAAAATGAAATTAAATAAGATGAATGTAGAGAACTGTATAAAGGATAAATATAGATAGATAAAGATAAATATATAGGACAGTATATGGCATTGTGTTGTTAAACAGTGAATAAATGACATTAGCAGAAATTAGCAGTTAAATTAAATTAAATTATTGCACTTAAGTGGTGGATCAAGTTATTGCACAAAGAAAATAAAAAATAAAAAAGTAAGTAAGTAAGAAGAGTGTCCAGGTATGTATGAGTAGATTATTATTATTGCACAGTTATTGCACAGTTATTGCACAGTGAGTGGCTACCACTCCTTTCCTTCTGTCCTCTTTACCCTATTTCCTCCTCCCCCAGAGAGAGGAGTTGTAGAGTGTGATGGCACGAGTGACAAAGGAGTTCTTGAGCCTGTTGGTCCTACACTTGGGAAGGAGCAGCCTTTCACTGTGAACAGGCTCCTCTGGTTGCTGATGACGGTGTGCAGGGGGAGCTGACATTGTCACTAATGTCCAGCAGTTTGTCCAGTGTCCTCCTCTCTTCCACCATCACCAGTGAGTCCAGCTTCATGCCTACCATAGAGCCGGCCCGCCTGATCAGTTTATCCAGTCTGGAGGTGTCCTTCTTGGATATGCTGCCCCCCCAGCACATCACAGTGTAGAAGAGGACACTGGTAACCACAGACTGATAAAACATCCACAGGAGTTTGCTGCAGATGTTGAAGGATCGCAATCTCCTCAGGAAGTACAACCTGCTTTGTGTCTTCCTGTACAGGTGGCTGGTGTGTGTTTATTATCCAGCCACAGCCCGAGGTATTTGTATGATTCCACAGCCTCCACCTCAGCTCCCTCTAGCAGGACTGGTCGCGCTCTTGGTCTGGACCTCCCAAAGTCAATGACCAGCTCCTTCGTCTTAGAGGTGTTGAGCTGTAGGTGGTTAGTGTGACACCAGAGAGCAAAGTCCCCCACCAGACTCCGAGTCAAACAAGTTCTGTTCAACTTCTTGCAACGAAAATGCGGGCATTATGAAATCATGCAATTTTGCACGGAAATCGGCAATTTATGCGGTGAAAGTGCAGCGTATTTGAAAAAATGCAGCCCCCGCATAAATATGCAGACTTTGGCTGATTATGCATTGAATTATGCGATCGCATAATCGCGTTTTTCTGGAGGGACTGATCAATGACCTAAATATTAGATTAATAAATAATAATAAATAAGTAATTATAACTGGAAATGCTCTAATGTGTCCAGTCATCCGATGTTGTTTTACCAACTTGCAAAAGAATTACAGAACATTTTTCCTTTAAAAAGTTATTCATACTTTTTTGGTAAAGCTGCTCCCAGAGGTTTCATCTGTCAAAGCTCTGTTGGTAACCCTGCCTTGAAACACGCTATCTACAGAGTTGATGAAACCGGACTTGCCAGCACCAACTGGTCCGTGAAGAAGAATTCTGAGATGATTGACTTCCTTGTTTTGAGGTCGATAAGATTTCACAAAATCCAAATTTTCCTGGTTGCTCCTGTTGATTGAAGGACAAATGTTAAAGAACTGTATGTTTATACACAATAGGCTGATTGTGATTGTTGTTCTATTTTCACACACACTGTAGGGTCAAAGGAGACCTTAAGATATGAACTCGTTCATTTGGTGTGGTAATTCATCAGGAAGGAGCTATCGTGCAGCATTAGTGAGAAGCCATATGTTGTCATGTTTGACGAAAGCATGAATAAAACGACAAAGAGTAAATAAATGGACCTTCATTTGCAGTTCTGGACTACTGATGATGAGACTGGCACACACCACGTCCAATGGTGATTCTGGGGGGTGGCCGGGGCCACCACTGAAAGCTCATTGGCCACCCCAGATCTGATAGGTAGTTGGTCAAGTTCGTCAACACAAGAAACAAGAGAAATGCTGTCAATCAATGATGACAGCTGATCAACTGATTTAGGGCCAGTTTTCCATTTTTAACTAACACAGTAATGGTCGTACTGACGCTGTGAGAGCTGATTTCTGCTCAGCGGATGTTTGGCCATGCAGGTCAGGTGACCCATGAGATGAGCACGCTGCACCTGCTGCTGCTGCTGGTCCGTGAAACAGGAGGACGGTCACAGTTACAACATCAACAATACAACAACGATAAAAACTGTCAATTGAGAGGAATGGTAATTTAATGTTTAGTTATATCGTAGTTCCCTCTGAATGTGGAGGAAAACTTTATCTAGCTCTAAGTAGCAGCTCAAAGTCGAACTACACTGCACTAGCTAGCTTAGCAGCCTGCAAACCAAGTTAAGCATTGAACGTTAGCATTTTGTTTTTTTAATTGTTATTTGGATACCGCCATGAAATATGAAACGCTATTTTCTGGACTGAAGACTGAGGGTGTTTTTTGCAAATGTGTGTGTTCAATAGAGCTAATGTTATATTTTTCAATATACAACTAGTGTGTGAAATAAAGTGTGACAGTCTAGATTTAAGTAGCTCTAACACAAGAACAAGCTGTGACTTATTTATTTGCTCTGTGATTTAAGGGCTGTTTAAAGACTTTTTTCTCTGAAGGGCTTTTTGTTTGTATCAATTTGCTCATCTTCACAGTTCACATATTTTTAGACGTTTAAATAGGCAGAGGCAGAGCAAATTGTATTCAAATGCCACAAATGCTTGAGATGCAATATGTGTTAATTGTGTTATTAAAAGTGAGTGGTAAGAGTGGTAGTTATGTAAAAAATAAACCTTTGTAGATCCTATAAATAGACATAATTAGGCACATTGTTGACACCTCCTTTCTTTTTGACATTTTAATGGAGTCAAAGCTGTTATTTAAGGGGTTCCAGAGCCCCATGAACACCTGTATTTTGCACACTGATTCTAATCCAATTTGACAATGATCCTGCTTGACGTTTGTAGTTATAGCTATTACTTCAAAGTGAATTGACTGACTGATTGATTGATTGAGTGATTGAATTACATTTCCCCCAGGGATATTAAGAGAATAGTTATGAAGAGAAGCAGAGATATTCAGAGTTTCTTAAAAAAAAAAAAAGAAAAGAGTCAGAGCCAGCCACAGCTTCTACCAGCAGCAGTGAAAAGGCTCAGTCAAGTCAGCAACCTAGGTACAGCAGTAGTGATGAAGAGCAGTCAGCTCCTCCTGCACAGGATGGTAAGTCATGCTTGGATAGTTTGAATTTACCATGTAGGCTCACATTCAAGTTGTTTGTCACTCTCCAGTTATACAATTACAACTGTCTGAAACATCGCTACACAAGAACAATAGTTAAAACAGTTGTAAAAGACAGAAGAACAATAATAAAATGTGCATAATACATAAATACACACACACACACACACACACACACACGTATGTATGTATGTATGTACATATGTATGATTGTGTGAGTGTAAAATATATATATATGTGTGTGTGTGTGTGTGTGTGTGTGTGTGTGTGTGTGTGTGTGTGGCAGAACCTCCAGCCTATTGATGTCTCAGATTTCTCAGATACCCGTGTATTCCCACAGCTGACCAGCCACACCCAGAGGAGGATCCAGCAGAAACCTTTATTTCACAGTTACGAGACAGGAAATCATGGGAGAGAGAGGGGATGTGACATGCAGCAAAGGACCGGGATTCGAACCGCGGTTGGCTGCGTACGTAGTGCATTAAACTTCGCTATGCCATGGCCACCCCACACTAGCTTTGTGTCCCATCTTGGCCACCCCAGTAAAAATGTCCTGGATACGCCACTGGTTGTAGGAAAATGTATCACATCTAAAGAAGCATACAGTTGGAGAGATGTGGTTTTGGGTGGAGAGATGAAATTATCCTTAAACACCCACCTTAAGCCCCACATTATAAAATGCTGAGTAATCCACTGAATACAAATGATAAATGCATTTTTTTAATTTACAGACTTATTGCATTTCACCATTCTAATTTATGACATTACATGTCATCTGAATTGATGAACAGACAAAGACATTTGTGATGAGAAGAAATTATTTTGGGGAAAAAACTGTGACTGTGAATCACAATGCTGTGAAAAAAAAAAAAGTAAAAATAACTTCTAAAATCTGCTAGAATTAAATAACTAAACTACCTGCCATAAAATCTGTTATTGAGAAAGATTTAGGAGGAAATAACATTCAGAATAACAAACTGAAGTAGGATAATATATAATTGGATAACTGTATATAATTGTACATATATTGTGTATTAATTCATATGATTATTTATTTCACAATGTCATATATATTTAATCTTTGATTGCACACTTTGGTTTTCGATACAAACAACCATCATTTTTTCACATTCAGATTGAGGAAATCTTCTCTAAAGGTAATCATCTGTCTCAACACATTAATGTCATTATTAATGTTGATTTCTTAATTATAATTCTTCACAAGGAAGATGCACTTCAGTGGAATACTATGAATGTAATCACAAATATAATCACTTCCAATATTACAATATAATCTACCGTATGGACTAGAAAGAATTATTTGGGGAGATTACATTTACAAGCATCCCTCCCAAAACCCTTGAATGAAATAAAGGGAAACAAATGACAAATTGTATGTTTACTGTGGTTTTATTTTAACAGCCCTACTTTAGCACAATGATTCAATATGTAGCAGGTTCAAAGAAGATGCTGTTGTAGCAACAAATATCTCCCATGTGTACATATATAACCAGATGTTTAAATAAGTTTCACTTTTCAACCACATTTAGCCCAGTTTAAGCCCGAACATTTTGACCTGTTGCTAATCATGAGATTCATAATTACTGTGAGACTGCAACGCCACATATTACCACAGGATCAAAAAAGCATAGCCAACACTGCAATAAAACTCCAAAAGCATAGTTAAAGTACCTGTTTAATATGCACATGTAGGTTTTAAATCTATTCATACTTTATTCAGCAAACTAGAACACAGGTTATAAGATCATCCGATTGATAGTTGCTTTGTTCATGCTCAGAAAAAGCAACATTTGCCCCTGCAGCATGTAGGTCTACAAGTTGTTGACAAAGTCTTCTCCAAAATTAGTCATCTGTCTCAGTGCACTCAGTATCAGTGTATCAATGTCATCATCTGTGGTGATCTCTGAGTGGTAGTTCTTCACAGGAAAGATGCAGTTCAGTGGAATACCCAGTGACATGCTGAATTCCTCCATCTAAATTTGAACAATTTGACTAATGAGAAATTACAACAAAGTGCTTAACAAAGAATTTTTGTGTTAAAAAATATATTCCAACTTGAATAATAACTCAAATCAAGACTTACCTTTTTCTTCAGGGACTTGCTCTTATACACATTCCTTAGATCTCTTTTGACTTCTGGACAGGCTTCATCAATTTTGGTGAGAATAGCCAGTTGGGGAATCTCTGCCGATAGAGAGCAGATTATGAGTCAATGATGATCATGTTTGTCAGGTTATTTGATTCAACTTATTAAAAACCCAATAACTAACCCTAACCCTTACCCTTGTCCCTGGCTGCAAGTCTGACATCCCTCATCTTTTTCACAGTTTCATCACTCAGTAAATGTATTGTGTTGGCAGGGACGACACAAACCAGAACATGAACTTTGTTATTTAGAGTGGGGTTGTTGTTGTAGTGACAATCATCCTCAGATATTGTAGAGAGAGTATTGAACTGGAAAACAACATGAAATCTAATTAAAGAATGACTTTTGCAAGTTAATAGTTAATTATATATAAGAATATATTTCTATGTGAATACAATTGTTTATTCAAAACGGATCACAAAGCTGGATTGTGTTACTGAAATAAAGCCAACAAAGTTTAATGAAGTGAATAAATAATGGAAGTAATTCAATAATTGTACTTTATAACCATCTTTTATGTGTCCTCTCATGGCCAGTTTGATGTCCTCCACACCAACTCCTTTATTAGTGTCCTTCTCAAGGCCCATGATGTCAGTGAACGCAAAAGGGTAAAATGTTCCTGGTTCTCCTTTTTGGATTTTGTAAGTTTTGTACTGTAAAACAGAAAGGTGCAGGTATAATGACAAAAATACAACATAATGATCAATGACCATAAAGCAATTTGTCTTTCTCACTACTTTCATCACAATTGCTCAACACTGCTGTTAGCCTGATCTGTTATGCAATGAACATTGCAGTTGCACATGAAAGGTTTAATAAATCAAAATACACACTGAAAGAGTTGCTACATATCATGAATATTTACAGAGCATTAATACATTGACCTTAAAATAGTAAAACACACACACACGATTCATACTTCAGTGGTGAAGCTGTCGTGAGAGACTGCATCAACCAAAGCTCGACCAGTGATTCTGCCTTGTAGAAGACTGTCGACAGAGTTGATGAAACTGGACTTTCCAGAACCAGCCGGTCCATGAAGCAGAATTCTCAGCTCTAGGAGCTCTGTATTATGAGGCTGATAATCCTTCACAAATGGCAGATAGTTCTCTTTGCAACTATTCAAAGAATATTTTGAATCAGCAGTCTTAACAAATATTTTTTTGAAGTTTTAGTTTTTATTATATAAGAGATAAAATAACACATACTTACCCCCATTGTATTGTCCTCCAATTGTCCTCTAAAAGCTGACAGCAAATAGCACGAAACATTAACAAAGCAAACTAACATGAAAAATTAATTCATCAAATGTTTTAAATGTCTTACTCACAGGAGGGGGGCTGACAGGTTGAGATGATTTTCCTCCCATTGCTACAAAATAAGATATTTTAATTTATAACTTATTTATAACAGAGAATAATTCAAACAATAATTTAAGATAACTGGACTGACCTGCAACTTATCACTGATAAACCAGACTCGGTGTGCAACTATGTTGTAGATAATATATATCATATTATAAATTGCATATATTCATTTTTAATGACAATACTTAACATAAAATAAAAATAGAAAGTGACTCATGCATAGCACCCATTTAAAAAAAAAGAAGATTTAAAACAAATGTATAGCTCATTAAACTAAAGAAAAGTCATTTCAACAAAGAAGCTTCGAGCTACTATATTTAAATTACAAAATTCTTACAATGCAGTTTACTACTGCATTTGAGGATAGATATACAAAAAATCTTACCTCTAAATGTTGTTCTGGAACGAAGTAGGTACTAACTCATGAATTGCTAAGTCACTGGGGTGTGACTCTCTTTCTCTTTTGAGTCGATGGCTAGTGTGATGCTGCAGCTTTTTAAACATGTTGAAAACCTATTGACTTGCTTTCACTTTCTTTTTGGTCACATGATTTCTTTGAAATGGACTTTCTCTTCTGAGGTCATTATTTATTAATTAATCTAATTACCCACTTTAACCCATACCGGTATTTTTAACATGATACATAATGTTAACATAAATCAAACCTTCATCATCACATCATAACTTATTTTTTTCAAAAGTGATTTTGTAACAGACAAATTATGTTGTCTGGCCAATGTCCATATCAGAAAACATTTCTATGTTTCATTCTAGAGCATGAAAAAAGTCATTTTATCAGGGGTTAGTCTCTAACCTAAGTTCAATGAGGAGATTGGTCGTAAATAACTTAAAAGACTACTCAGTAGATATGAAACACCCACCCAAAATGATGCACACAGCAATAGATTGACTGTGTGTAAAGGAAATATATCATATTAATAATAATAACGACTTATTATTTCGTTATCTCGACATAACAAAGATCATTTTCTCGTGATAACAAATTAATTAATAATGTGTTAGTCTTGACTTGAAACTAATGCGCTGCCACGAACGGCTTCCATAGCCACTGGCTGTAGCTGTAGCCTACCGGTTAAGTTGGTTTGTTTACTTGACTGGGTTTGTTTAGGGGCTACCAGTTAGAAGATGAGAGGCTGACAAACTCCTATATATCCGGCTGCTTCAGCTAAGGTAACGTAAATGTAGGCTAACGCTAACTTAGCAATGTAATGTGAAACGTAATTAAAAGTTTATTAATTCATTTAATAGTGCTTTGATATGTGTCGTGTTTATTATTATGGTTTGTTGCACAGCATTACAATGGTCCACTCAAAATGTGGCTATTAAATAATCAGAAGAACTATGACAACCCTTTTGTGTAAGGGCCAAGAATTGGACAACTTTGTTGCAGCTGCTAACAATGACTGCATTTACTGTTGAATCCTACAGATCACCATGGACCAGTTTCCTTGAGAGAAAGGAGTGTTCCTGAGGAGAACCTGGCAAGAACGGCAGAGCACAAGGTGAAGTAGCTACATAATCTAAGTCAATAGTTAAAGGCATTGCCTGCCAATGCTAAAGTGACAAATGAAGAAGTATTTTGGTCCAATTTGGTTGTTGTAAGTCTGTAGAATCATAAATATGTACATCTGGACATTGATAATGGCATAATACCTGTATTTACCTGCACAAGATGGACATAAAATGATTTATATGACCTAAGTTAATACTGGTAACTACTAAATTGCAGCAAAGGTTGGACACACAACCTTGCCGTAAAAACAAATAAACAAAAACAGCTATGACCAGTGTAAGAATAGAATAGAATAGAAACTTTATTTGTCTGAAACCAAAGGGTTACAGAAATGTATCTTAATTTATCATAAGAGGTTTCATGATATGTAATGTAGTTGGTATCAAGCTGGTTGAATTGGTGGCTCAGTTGGTGTCCAGCTTAAACCAGCTAATGTCATTTTGGTTGTAGTGGAGAAACTACTACTACTAGTAATGATCAGACTGGGCACCACTTGAGGCCACAATTCAGAGTATGTGGGGTAATAAAAGGCTTAGAGAGGTTGATATGCTTTCAGTTTTCTTTCCTTTCCTTATCAGCAACACACAGGCATAACAGTTGGAGCTTACGGTGATGAGTGTGGGTTTTCTACAAAAATATACCATGTTAAACACTCATAATTACATAATAATAATGTACATACATACATTACATTCTCACTCACAGAAATAAACAGAAACTCAAAGCACTCATTACTCAAATATATGTAGCCGTGTAGTTCATTTATTTAAATATAATGTTCTACTGGTGTGAGATAGTTCTCAAAGTTGTCTAATGTGTTTTTTGTTTTCTATTGAGTATAACATTGTTGTGAAATAAGTATAATGTGAAGCAGATTTTAAATGAGCTGCATAGTAACATGTTGTTGCAGATTTTGATCACAAGGTGGAAATAATGACTCATGTCACAAGTATAAAATGAGTATTTTTCCTTCCAAAAGGTTCGTTCAGTGTTTTTAAATAGAAAGGTTCTGATATAGGCAGAGGAGGATAGAGTAGCCAAAATTTGTACTCAAGTAAAAGTATTGTTACTTTAGGACAATATTACTCAAGTAAAAGTAAAAAGTATTTGCATTGAAATTAGAATTTATCTAAAAAGTTACTCAAGTAAATGTAACTGAGTAAATGTAACTCGTTACTACCACCTCTGGATATAGGGGAGAAAAGTGCCAAGAGAAAAGTGTTCTCTAGAGTCAAATGTTTATACGTAGAACTCAATCTCTCTGTGAATAGCCCTTTCAGAGCCTTCTTTTTCTAAGTGTGATGGTTCCCAGTAGATTACGTTTACAAGCATCCCTCCCAAAACCCTTGAATGAAATAAAGGGAAACAAATGACAAATTGTATTATTTACTGTGGTTTTATTTTAACAGCCCTACTTTAGCACAATGATTAAATATGTAGCAGGTTCAAAGAAGATGCTGTTGTAGCAACAGATATCTGCCATGTGTACATATATAACCAGATGTTTAAATAAGTTTAACTTTTCAACCACATTTAGCCCAGTTTAAGCCCGAACATTTTGACCTGTTGACATGCTAATCATGAGATTCATAATGACTGTAAGACTACAACGCCAGATATTACCACAGGATCAAAAAAAGCATAGCTAACACTGCAATGAAACTCTGAAAGCATAGTTAAAGTGCCAGTTTAATATGCACATGTAGGTTTTAAGTCTATCCATACTTTATCCTGCAAACTAGAACACAGGTTATAAGATCCTTCTTATAGCCATAATTTCAGCTTTATCATATTCCTGTTTGCAAACTTGCTTTGTTCATGCTCATAAAAAGCAACATTTGCCCCTGCAGCATGTAGGTCTATATAAGTTGTTGACAAAGTCTTCTCCAAAATCAGTCATCTGTCTCAGTGCACTCAGTATCAGTGTATCAATGTTATCATCTGTGGTGATCTCTGAGTGGTAGTTCTTCACAGGAAACATGCAGTTCAGTGGAATACCCAGTGACACACTGAATTCCTCCATCTAAATTTGAACAATTTGACAAATGAGAAATTACAACAAAGTGCTTAACAAAGAATTTTTGTGTTAAAAAATATATTCCAACTTGAATAATAACTCAAACCGAGACTTACCTTTTTCTTCAGGGACTTGCTCTTATACACATTCCTTAGATCTCTTTTGACTTCTGGACAGGCTTCATCAATTTTGGTGAGAATAGCCAGTTGGGGAATCCCTGCCGATAGAGAGCAGATTGTGAGTCAATGATGATCATGTTTGTCAGGTTATTTGATTCAACTTATTAAAAACCCAATAACTAACCCTAATCCTTACCCATGTCCCTGGCTGCAAGTCTGACATCCCTCATCTTTGTCACAGTTTCATTACTCAGCAAATGTATTGTGTTGGCAGGGACGACACAAACCAGAACATGAACTTTGTCATTTAGAGTGGGGTTGTTGTTGTAGCTGTGATCATCCTTAGATATTGTAGAGGCAGGCTTGAACTAGAAAACAATACAAAATTTAATTAAAGAATGACTTTTGCAAGTAAATAGTTTATTACATGTAAGAATATATTTTTATGTGAATACAATTGTTTATTCAAAACGGATCACAAAGCTGGATTGTGTTACTGAAATAAAGCCAACAAAGTTTAATGAAGTGAATAAATAATGGAAGTAATTCAATAATTGTACTTTATAACCATCTTTTATGTTTCCCTTCATGGCCAGTTTGATGTCCTCCACACCAACTCCTTTATTAGTGTCCTTCTCAAGGCCCATGATGTCAGTGAACACAAAAGGGTAAAATGTTCCTGGTTCTCCTTTTTGGATTTTGTTAGTTTTGTACTGTAAAACAGAAAGGTGCAGGTATAATGACAAAAATACAACATAATGATCAATGACCATAACAATTTGTCTCTTTCTAACTACTTTCACACTGCTGTTAGCCTGATCTGTACTGCAATGAACACTGCAGTTGCACATAAAAGATTTAATAAATCAAAATACACAGTGAAAGAGTTGTTACATATCATGAATATTTACAGAGCATTAATACATCGACCCTAAAATGGTAAAACACACACACAAGTGATTCATACTTCAGTGGTGAAGCTGTCGTGAGAGACTGCATCAACCAAAGCTCGACCAGTGATTTTGCCTCATAAAAGACTGTCGACAGAGTTGATGAAACTGGACTTTCCAGAACCAGCCGGTCCATGAAGCAGAATTCTCAGCTCTAGGAGCTCTGTGTTATGAGGCTGATAATCCTTCACAAATGGCAGATAGTTCTCTTTGCAACTATTCAAAGAATATTTTGAATCAGTAGTCTTAACAAATATTTTTTTAAAGTTTTAGTTTTTATTATATAAGAGATAAAATAACACATACTTACCCCCATTGTATTGTCCTCCAATTGTCCTCTAAAAGCTGACAGCAAACAGCACAAAACATTAACAAAGCAAACTAACATGAAAAATTAATTCATCAAATGTTTTAAATGTCTTACTCACAGGAGGGGGGCTGACAGGTTGAGATGATTTTCCTCCCATTGCTACAAAATAAGATATTTTAATTTATAACTTATTTATAACAGAGAATAATTCAAACAATAATTTAAGATAACTGGACTGACCTGCAACTTATCACTGATAAACCAGACTCAGTGTGCAACAATGTTGTAGATAATATATATCATATTATAAATTGCATATATTCATTTTTAATGAAAATACTTAACATAAAATAAAAATAGAAAGTGACTCATGCACAGCACCCATTTAAAAAAAAACAAGATTTAAAATAAATGTATAGCTCATTAAACTAAAGCAAAATCATATCAACAAAGAAGCTTCAAGCTACTATATTTAAATTACAAAATTCTTACAATGCAATTTACTACTGCATTTGAGGATAGATATCATAAAAAAAAAATCTTACCTCAAAAAGTTGTTCTGGAACGAAGTAGGTACTGAACTGGTGAATTGTAGA